AGCATCAATAACAGGACAAGGACCACGTAGAATGTCATCTTCAGAACATGGATCACGCAGAGGGTCAACAGCAGGACAAAATCAGCACAAAGGATCAACAGCAGAGCAAGGACCACACAAAACATCATATTCAGAATATGGATCACKCACAGAGTTAACAACAGAAGAACCACACACAGAAGAGCACGATCTATATGGAGAGAGAATTCCAGAAAAACAAGAGGATGTAGACTCAACTTCACCATCAAGGGAAGTTAGAATCTCTAGAACAAGTGCAGAATCTGAATATATTGAATTCCCTTCACAAGAAAAGGARCAACTGTATGAAGAGGAATTATTAGAAGAACTACAAGAGGACCTTCCTACATCCAGTAAAAAAGGTAGTTCAGGTAGTGATTCAGTTTTCCTACAACATCAGCTACTTGTTTTGTGAAGTGATTTTTAAAGTCTTTTCAGAAAAATAATCATTTAAATTAGGATCATTTTTGGCATGTCAGGTCATGCAAACTTTAGACATATTTTGCTACTCAACATGAGTCTAGACCTTGAATAATCAATTAAATGCAAACCAGAATGTCTCTATTGTCAGCTTACCAAGAATTTCATTTGTACTAGAAATTCATTAACAAGGAATAAATTGGGCTGTGATTGTGGCTCAGTGGTAGAGCGCTCACCTAGCATGCACGAGGCACTGGGTTCAATCCTCAGCACCACATAAATGTAAAATAAAGATATTGTGTCCACCTAAAACTAAAAAATATTTTAAAAGGAGGAAATCTAGCAGTGTTACATGTAGAAATATTTTAACTGGATTTTTTGAAAAGGTGGGAAAAGCCCCTTTATTTTAAATGGGGCTTTTTAGAAACCACTTTTTAATGTTTTTTAACTAAAAAATGGGTCTTGTTTTTTTTCAAATAAAAGATATATTTCAAACAAAAAAAACCCACCTGCATTTCAAATATTTAGTCATATCTCATTGGTCATAATTTAGGCATATAGTAATATGTCACTCTAAGGGAAACTGGGAAATGTTTCATTTTGCATGGCCAAATTGAGATACAACAAACAGATTTTGCCACAGAGCTGCTGTCAACCATTTAAGTTATTAAGTGATTTAATTGTGGTTGATTATGACACAATATATATGAGGAAATACTCAGARTTTTTAGTGTTCTATATGAAAGGTATTTTTCCCATTCATTAACCTTAGGATATGTAATAGAAGACATAATGTCCAATTCATAGAAATTTTCTTTTGTATACCTTTTAGCTACCACAAGAAAAGACATTCAGAAAGACAGATCCTGTGAACCCAAGTCCCCCAAAATAGAAGGAAAATCATGGTCAGGTAACTTTTTATTTAATCTTATTTTCATGTATTACCTAGGACAAAAACATTGTGAAAGTGAAGTTAAATTTGCTGTGTTATGAAATGTGTTTTTATAGGTGAATTTTTTGCATGTAACTGGAGGAGGAAGTATGTGAAATTTGAAGATGAGGATCAAGCACACTTAATCTATAATAACTCCAAGTTTACAGGTATGTGTTAACAATGAAAGTAAGGAAGCATAGGTGACTTTAATTTACTGTGGTATCCCATGAGAAAGAATGTATTTAACTAAGACACAACAGAATCCTTACATTGCTTTGTTCCTGAGAACTGATGGATATGAATATATGTAAGATGGGTGTTTCTAATGGTGACATGCTATTGGTAGTGACATCTACTATCAATGAATATTCCTTGGCTTTCAAACTTATGATATTAATAGACTTTTTTGCTATTATATGGCCCTATAACTGCTTTGAAGATAAGGTACAAGCATACAAAAGAAATCAGATGTTAGATATTAGAATTCAATAGAAATTATGCCAGCTATTTCTCTTCCTAGTAGGTCCACAACCAAACATATGAGACAAATGAGAATCTATTTTGTTTTTGAAGACTTGCAAAGAAAGGTAGTATTGGTATTTTGGATTGGACCCAAGGGTGCTTAGCTACTGAGCCACATCCCCAACACTTTTTTTTTATTTTTAAATTTTTTATCTTGAGATAAGGTCTTGCTAAGTTACTTAGGGCCTCCCAAAATTGCTGCAGCTGACTTTGAACATGCTTCAACCTCCCAAAATGCTGGGATTACAGGTGTACACCAAATCACATGTTTAACTATAATTGTTTTGAATAGTACTCTAGTCATATTTAATTAAAGTTCTATTTTATATTTTCCTTGTCATATCAACAAGTAGTAGAACTAATTAGACCAAGATTATTTTCTTTCTATCTGCAAATTGTTTTCTTGTTTAAACCTGGGCTAAATAACAGACTTACTATGCTAAAAAATTCTGGCGAAATAATATTTTCACTAAATAGAAAATCAAGCATTGGTCAGCTCTTATGGTCCAAAGTTAATATTTCTCTTTCTAGTCCTTATGTCAGTTTTACTTTACTGTTTTTTAAAAATTGCACGGATGGGGCTATGGTTGTGGCTTAGTGATACAGTGCTTGCYTAGTACATGTGAGGCACCTCAACACCACATAAATATAAAAAATAAAATAAAGGTATTGTGTTCATCTACAACTAAGAATATTTTTTAAAAATTTGCATGGGTGATCATTTTTAGTTATATCAAGTCTCATATAGAAGGTTTAAGGCATGCATGAATAAATCAAACATAAGTCTCTAGACTGACATTTTGTTACTTAATGTAATGTTACTTCATGTTGTAACATTAAGCTTCAAGATGAATACCTTAGTTGCCATTCTTAGTGGGAAGAGTTTTAGTGGTGGTATTTACTAATTTATTTAATTTGGGAGTCCAGCATGTAACTGTCTTCAGATACAACTGGATTTAACAATACCAGACAATGTCTCTCTGTCTCAATGTCTTTCTCTCACTTTCAATTTTAGGCAGTTTTCTCCATATTGTAGAAAATTGGCCACAGAGCATCTCTACTCTTRCATCCTACTGGTTCAGCAATCAGAATACAAAAAGAATGATTCTTGCCCAATAGTTCTCCTGAAAATCCTGGAGCTAATTCTCATTGGCCTGTAGTGGATTACATTGCTATCAGTATAAATCATTGGCCAGATCTCTTATACATATCCATGGAACAAGGGTGTGGATGCATAGTACCACCAGATTCCTCAGAACTGACAATGGAGGAGAAATGTTTTCCCAAGGAAAAAAGATGGATGCTGTCCTCATGAAAGGAGCATAGATTCCTGACAAGCAAAAATAGTAGATATTATAGCTAGGGATTTAGTTTAGTGGGAGAGCACAACTTAGCATGCATTAGGCTTTAGGTCCAATTCCCAGCACCAGAATAAAACAAATCAAAGCAATAGCAGATGTCTGTTACAATAGATAGTCATTTATTTTCCATAAGATTTGAGAGAATCATTCACTTAACTGCTTGGTATCTGTTTACTGCTTCATAGACCTACACCCGATTATCAGAAATATTCAGTCTYACAAGGAAATAAGAGGGAGGAGTGCCTTCAATGGAGTTTCCTTCAATCTGCTCCAGTTTGTGCAGCTCCTAGAGACATTTGTTGGTGAAGATGCCCCCTTGAGTGTCAGCGAGAGCCTCATTTCCTTTTTTAAGAGGGGCTATTTTGAAACAAAAGAAGAGAAAATGAGTGCCTTAGAACAGGTGGGTAATATTACTTATCGATTGGGGCTGGGGATGTGGCTCAAGAGGTAGCGTGCTTGCCAGGCATGYGTGCAGCCCAGGTTCGATCCTCAGCACCACATACAAACAAAGATGTTGTGTCCGCCAAGAACTAAAAAAAAATAGATAAATTAAAAAATATATATTACTTATCGATGAAACAAGTGAGGTCACTATTATAAGCAAATTTCTCAATTTCAGTTGCTCCCCATGTCACTCTCTTTAAAAAAAATTATGTCCAAATTTATCATTTTATTTCAATAAGCATAGCCATTAAATATCTTATTTTATTGGTGAATGCTCTAAGATCACCTCCAGAGAACTCATTCCCCTAAAAATAACATGATTACTCCTGGCAGGAGATGGTTTATAATATAGCTTTGTTTTTTCCTTCTCTGAAACTTGAGGAGTAAATGTGTGTATGTGTGAAGATGTACGTGTGYACCATCTGCTCTGTGAGTGCGTTTACAAATGCACATACCTAAGGGTATGATTATGGCTTGAATATGTGTTTTTTATTCTTGGGCACTCAAGTAACACATATTTCCTAGGAACTTAATACTTCCTTGGGTGGTAAATAAATGCATATGCGTCATCCAATATAAATAACTTACGTTCTCATATGTGAAACATGTGACTCATTTCACCAAACTTATTCAGTAATTTCATCAGCCTTATGAGTTTTCTCAGCCTAATTCCAGAGTTGACTTCCTTTTTACCTCCTCAACTGCAATTCCCCACCACTTAAAACAAAAGGTATATATTCACTCTTTTTTGCAATTAAATGTTTCTATATATGAACTCAATTTATGATCTAATTAATATAATTAAAATAGTGTGAAAGCATACAATTAAATAAAATTAATGCCATCAAAATTAATATAGAAAAGAATTTTGGGCAGAGCACAGTGGCACACACCTGTAAACCCAGCGACTTGRGAGTCGGAGGCAGGAGGATMGTAAATTCAAGACCAACCTCAGCAACTTGGAGATGCCCTAATTACTTTAGCAAGACCCTGTCTCAAAATAAAAAAATAAAAGAGCTGGGAATGTGGCTCTGTGATTAAGTGACCCTGGGTTCAATTCCCAGTACCAAAAAAAAAAAAAAAAAGGAAGAAAGAGAATTTTTAAAACAACCGTTTTTTAGTTATTTCAACACTCCCTTTCCCTACAGAATATCCCTAGGAATCCAGTGAGAACATCCCATGTGTTTATCATATTTAAAAAAATTTTTTTGATGTTGATGGACYTTTATTTTATTCATTTATTTATATGCAGTGCTGAKAATCGAGCCCAGTGCCTCACACACACTAGGCAAACGCTCTACCACTGAGCCACAACCCCAGCCCATATTTATCGTATTTTATAATGACCAGGGAGGATGTGGGAAGGAATAATACAAGATTCTTAAGAAGTACAGTATCCTTTCTGAGGTAATATGCTTGAGTCCAGAGAATGCCTGAGTGGTTTCACCTTAAGACATTAAAGAGGTTAAAATTAATAACTGCATTTTCCATTAATATCATGGTTAACCCCCAAATAAGCTGTTTTTATAAAAGATACTGCAATTATTTAGTATAAACACAGGATGCCAGCTAGCACAGTTAAYATCGTGTCTTCTGTACCTTGTTAACCTGTTTGTATCCCAGGTTAGACAAAAGGCTTTCCAAGTCCGCCGGGAGCTTCTTCTAGAAGCCCTCTTTCAGAAGTGGGACAGTGATGGCTCAGGCTTCCTGGATCTGAGAGAAGTTGATGAACTCTTGTACACATACAAGGAGGGAATGGAAAAAGAATGTATGAAGAAAGGTAAAATATAAGACTGTTCTTGTTTAAGTTGTGGCACAACTTGGCTTCAAGTTTCCCAGTACTATGGGAAATATACAGTTAAAAACCAAACATTGATTTAGTCAAAACCATCAGATACTGCTTCATACTTATTAATGTGGCTATCATTTGAAAAATGGAAAATAAGTCTTGGCAAGAATGTAGAGAAATTGGACCCCTCATGTATTTGTCAACCTGATCAGAAGTGGATCAGAGTGCTGTGTCCAAAACCTTAATTCTACATAGATTCCTTCTGTGGACCTGAATACCCTCATTTGAGGTTAAGAGAATCCAAACCATGCTACAGTTCTGCCTGATTTCTCTTATTTTTCTCTCTTTGTCTTCACAAGGTCTGAACTATTCTCTCAAGTCTGACTGGTTTACAAATTTCTCTTCAATTTACTAACTTCCTCTCCTTAATGACTTTTTTTTCTCCTTTATTATATTTTCCCCTTCTAATCATTACTTCCCAATCAAAACCTAGTAAAATTCTTATTCCAGTATGATAAATTCCTTTCTTCATTAGATCCCAGTTTAAATGATTTTGCTTCTTATTGGCTTTAAAGGTCTATCTGTTGACTTTTGTATACCAGATTTCCAATCTTTAAAGTGTATAGTGCATGGGCTGTTTAAGTTCTTCAACCCTTTCCAAAACATCCTTACATTGTTGATCTTCAAATGTGCCTAAAGTTTATCAATTGTCATGTTCTCTTCAGTCTGCAAACTTTAAATTACACTGCACTGCTTGACTAAGACTATGCCTAGAGAGTTGGCTATGCACTTTAATTTTCCATTTAAATGACAAGATTTGCCTTAATATTTAAATTTCTATTTACCTAGCATACTTAATGAAATTTCAGAAGACATAATGAGGGGCTGGAGTTGTGTCTCAGAGGTAGAGCCTCGCTCTACCTGTGTGAAGCACTGAGTTCGATCCTCAGCATCACTTAAAAATATTGTGTCACCTATAACTAAAAAATAAATATTAAAAAAGAGCATAATGAGGTGGTTCCTACTTATAAGATTGGCGAATTTCATAGCATAGAACCGTACTCTACAGAGAACCCTATACATCAGTTAGGGTGGCTGGGTTCCAATATTGGGTCTTCACTAACGGGTCCTGTGAACCTGGGCCTGTAACTTAACCTCCATAGACTCAAATTTCTTTGTTTGTAAAGTGAAAGAGTGAGCCATGATGAATTTTTAAAAAAATTTTTCTTATCAAATTTTTAATAAAGATCTTAGCCATTTTTAAGTGAATATCCTTTTCCTGGATTTTTCCCAATTGCAAATGAAATATCATTTTACATCCTTAATTATAAATAACACTTATAATGGGACTGTACAAATTCAGGTCAAAATAAAAAATACATGTATTTTGTGACTTCATAAGAGAAATGATGAATTTTAGAATTAAGGGATCTAAAAGTAATGTTATAAGTGAATTCCATATATTGGATTATATGGAATTACATATAACTGAAACACAGCACTAGGGATAGATAAAAGCACAAAATGTAAAGCCCAGCAAATGAGAAAGAAATGAGGAGGCAGAATATGCTGCCAAATGAAAATGTTTGAAAGTATGAATAAATAACCATTAATTCTCTCCAAGGGCAGACTTATACAAAATGATTCTCAATAAACACGGATTGATAGTCACTTGGTCAGAAATAGCTGTTGACCTGGCGGCAGTATAGAAGAGTTAGCTTCTACTCTCTAAAAAGAAAGAAAATTCTAAATTTGAGTATTGACTGACAAATTATTGGCAAATCTTCAAACAGTTCTTTTGTTTGTTTATTGTTTTGTTCTGCTCTTCTTATTTCTTCTGTGTCCAAGATTAAAAATTGAGTTGCTGAATGTGGTTACACATGCCTATAATCCCAGAGGCTTGGGAGACTTAGGCAGAAGGATCGCAAATTCAAAGCCAGTATCAGCAATTTATTAAGACCCTGTCTCTGGGGGGGAAAAAAAAAAAAGTCTGGAGATGTGAGTCCGTGGTTAAGAGCCCCAGTACCCAAAAAAAAAAAAAAAACAGGTTTATTTTAACTTTTGGTACTGAGGATTGAACCTAAGGGCACTAAGCTATACCCACACTCCTTTTTTATTTTTATTTTGAGACAAGAGACTTGCTAAATTGCTGAAGGCCTCACTAAGTTGCTGAGATTGGCCTTAAACTTGAAATTCTCCTCTAAAAATTGGGATTTAAATATCATAAAGTCACAGGGTTAGAAGTTTGTAGAAATGTTTCTGTTGGTGCTCTCAAAATGGAAGTTTGATATATAGAAAGAGAAACTTGAAATTTTAGGTTGTCATTCCCCACCTCTTTTTTTTTTTTTTTTTTTTTTTTGGCAGAGGGTACCCGGGATTGAACTCAGGGATACTCTGAGTTCAATACCACTGAGCCACTTCCCCAGACCTATTTTGTATTATTTTTAGAGACAGGGTCTCAGTGAGTTGCTTAGCACCTCGCTTTTGCTGAGGTTGGCTTTGAAGTAGATCCTCCTGCCTTGGCCTCCTGAGCCTCTGGGATTATAGGCCTGGCCACCATACCCTGCTAGCCCCCTTTTTTAAAAATTATTTTTCTCATTGAGAATTTAATGTAGGGGGTGGAGGGAAGGAGTGGGAGGAAAGAAGGGGAAGGGGCAATACTGGGGACTGAATTAGAACAAATTATATTCCATGCTTTATATAATTATGTCATAGTATATTCTATTGCCATGTATAACTAAAAAGAACCAATAAAAATTAATTAATTAATTAAAATATAGATGTAAATAAAATAAAAATATGGAATGCTTCATGAATTTGCGTGTCATCCTTTCGCAGAGGCCATGCTAATCTCTGTATTGTTTCAATTTTAGTAAATGTGCTGCTGAAGCAAGCACTCCCCTTTTTATTTCTATCTAATACAGAATTTGATCAATCTTTTGAGCAGAAATATCACAAATAAAAAGCCATAGAACATGTGACCTGTCAATACCATAGAATTTAATGGAATAAATTACTCTTACCCCATTATTTTCCATGGAATAGCTGTTAATGCTGTTGGCTATGTCCTTTTGTTTTCTATTTAAATTATAAGATTTGCTTTAATATTTAAATTTCTATTTAAATAAGACATTTAACTCTTAAAACTAAAACTTTTTTGAGACAAGGTCTTGCTATGACAATATGTTGATACATATTCAGTCACATTAATTTTTCATAGGATTCTCAGCATATTATGGTAAACTTTTTTTCTTTCAGGAAAAATATGACCATGTCCTACGAATTTGATCAATCTTAGTCTCTCTAGCCATGAACTCAAAAGAGGGAAATGGAATTACACCAGGTACAGCGCAGAGGAAGGAAGCTTTGAGAAAAGATTAAAACTTAAAACTTTGGTTTTATCCAGGTGCTGTGGCAGCAACTCAGGAGGCTGAGTCAGGAGATAGCAAATTTATGGCCAGCCTCAGCAATTTAGCAAAATGAGACCCTGTCTTAAAATAAAAAATATTTAAAAAGTACTGGAGGTGTTGCTCAGTGGTAAAGTATGCTTGGACTCAATCCCAAGTACACATCACAACAATAAAAACCCTTGGACTTTAGTTAGACCTTTAGTTTGAATACATTCTCTTCCTAATTAGTGCTATTGTCTCTTTCAGTATCCTTTTCCTCTTTTTAGAGAATGAGGCTAATTCCTACTTCCCTGGTGAACTGTAGGAATTAAAGATGATATATGTAGAAATACTTATTATCAGGTTTACAACACTCCAAAGACATGAATTTTATTATCTCTCTCTCTTTTTTGATACTAAGTATTGAACCCAGAGACGTTACCACTGARCCATATCCCATCCCTTTTTAATTTTTATTTTGAGACAGGGTCTTGCTAAGTTGCCAAGGCTGGCTTTGAACTTTTGATCCTTAGTTACTGGGATTACAGGAGTGTACTACTGTGCCCAGCTTACCTCAATGTCCTGAGTAACTGGAACTACAGGCACATGTGCCATAACAACTGGTTAAACTAAAACATTTTGGTAACACGTTCTGTTACCAAATTCCAGAAATCTTTTTTCCCCATATTTTTATGGGTGCATTATACTTGTATGCAATGGTGGGATTCATTGTTATATATTGTTACATACACACAATGAAATAATTTAATTTGGCCAGTATCCTTTCCCAATATTTCCCCTTTCCCTCTTCTCCCTCCCAGTAGTCCCTTTCCTCTACTCTATCCCGAAATCTTGAACATTATTTAAAAGTCTCATTAAAAAGCACACAAAGTGTTTTTTTTTAAAGAAACTAAAAACTGGGCAAGTAGGTGTTGTAAAATGACAATTTCTTTGCTTTAGAACTCTAGAATAAGGAATCAATAGGAAACTCCTCCGTTGTTCCTTGATTTTCATGACCTTGACACTTTGAAAGATTGTAGACTTGTTTTTAGGAAGTCCTTTATTTACATTTGTCTAATGTTTCTTCTTGCTTAAATTCAGGTTATTGATCTTCAGCAGAAATGTATTGTGTAATCAATGCTGTTCTTGTTGAATGATATCAGAAGTCCCATGATAACTTTKACCAGTTTATTAAGATGCTTTCTAACAGGTCCCTCCACTCTAAAGTCACTCTTTTTCCCTTTGAATCTAACAAGTATTTTATGAATGTGCTTTGAAACTATGTAAGTAGTCCTTCCATTTTTTGTCAAACTTTTCATTTATAGCAGTATATGGTGGCTTCCTATTTTATTCAATGGGTTATAATCCAAAACTATCATTATTTGTTTTGATGCTAATATTGTCCCAAATTTATTTATTTTTTTCTGTTATGTGCACAGTTACTTTATTTCTGCAGAATCTCCTTGGTGAACATATTTTTTTTCAGGCTTACATAATACAGTTTTTAAAAATCATTTATTTATTTATTTTTATTTATATATGACAGCAAAATGCATTACAATTCTTATTATACATATAGAACACAATTTTCATATATCTGGTTGTATACAAAGTATATTCACAGCAATTTATGTCTTCATACATGTACTTTGGATAATAATGATCATCATGTTCAATCATTATTTCTAAACCCATGCCTTCCTACCCTTCCTCTCCAACCCCTCTGCCCTGTCTAGAGTTTGTTTATTGTCCCAAATTTAAACAAAGGGAAGTCCTTTTATCTGACTCCTGTGTCTTCCCTTTCCCACTCCCAAAATTTTATAAGGAAAAATTTCAAACATTCAGCAAAACTGAGGAATTTTATGGCGAGGCATCTGTAGACCACCTGGATTCTACCATTACCATTTTACTACCCTTTCTTATTATCTATCTGCCTCCATCTATTTTTCCATCTATCTCTGTTATTTTTATGCATTTCAAAGTATATTATATACTTCTCACTAATTACTCCAGCATGCKTATCATTAATTGGAGTGTTTGTTAAAAGCTTTTTTTCTTTTGAGGTAAAATTTTCATAAAATTAGATGCATAAATTTTAAGTGTACAATGAGTTTTGGCAAATACATGACCTGAGTACTCCATGCTTGCATCAAGAACAAAAAAACTTTCCCATTCAATCCCACCATCTAATCCCCAAGACAACCCCTCTTCTGTTTTTTTCTACCATAGTTTTAACTCTTCTAAAACTACATAAAAATGAAGTCATACAATATATACTCTTTTTTGTAAGGTTTCCTTCACTCAGCATAATTTTCCTTGAGATGGTTACAGGTTGTTGCATATATTAGAATTTTGCTTCTATTTATTGCTGAATGGTATTCCACTGTATGAATATACCATGTTTGTTTATCTGGTCTCTAAATACTTGGGTTGTTTCTTGTTCTTGACTATTATGAATAAAGCTGCTCCAAACAATCTTATTATACTAATCTTTATGTGGATATATGTGTTTATTTCTTATTAATAAATATACAGGAGTAGAATTTCTGGACCATAGGGTACATATTTTTAGTTTTATAAGGAGCTGTCATATAGTTTCCTCTGTTTTTTTTTTTTTTTTTTTCGGTACTGGGGATTGAACTCAGGGGCGCTTAACCACTGAGCCACACAACATCAACCCCCCCTTTATATATATATATATATAATTTTTTAAGTCATAGTTGGGCACAATACCTTTATTTTATTTATTTATTTTTATGTGGTGCTGAAGATTGAACCCAGTGCCTTGCAGGTGATAGGCAAGTACTCTACCACTGAGCCACAACCCCAGCGCTTCCCCCCAACCCCAACCCTTTTAAGACAGGATCTTGCTGAGTTACTTAGGGCCTCGCTAGCTGGCTTTGAACTCGGGATCCTCCTGCCTCAGGCTCCTGAGTTGCAGGGATTACAGGAGTGTACCACCGTGCCTGGCTCCTCTGTTCTTTTAATGTGTTTCATCATTCTTTTTTTTTTCTATGTTTTTATTGGTGCCTTATAGTTGTACATACTTGTGGGATTTGTTGTTATGTATTTGTACATGTATACAATGTAACAGTATACATTTGCCAATACTGTTTCCATCATTCTTAGCAAACTACCTTGATTTCTACTATACTGACATCTTCTAGATCCCTCTTATACTGAGGGATAATCCATTTCCTCAGAAAATCCTGGTTTCTTTTAATGGGAAGTAGTATTTAAAAGCCAAGATCTGGATTCTACATATGCTCATTGTTCAGAAGTCTCTGCTCCCAGGTTTCTTAGTGAACAGAGGGAGGGGATTTGTTTGTATGTGTGTTTGCACATGCACATGCATGTGTGTACAAAAACATTCACACCTGTGCTTCTATTTCATCTATTAATATTAAAAATCATGAGTTCATACCAATACCTCCAAGTCTAATCTAACACAACAGGATTCATTCTAGTTTTCTCCCTTTCCATTTTTGAAGCTCCCTGCTTTGGCTCATGTTATCCTGGGTATATTTATTTATTTGACCCATCAGTCTATTAGTTCTACATGGAACAAATCTTCAATCATTGCTGCTGTCCTCTCTCCCACTCTTATGTCCTTGTATATTTGAAATCATTTAAAAAATATTTTAAAAATTATAGATGGACACAATATCTTTGTGGTTTTTTTTTTTTTTTTGTGGTGCTGAGGATCGAATACAGTGTCTCACAGGTGCTAGCAAGCATTCTACCACTGAGCTACAACCCCAGCCCTTTTGTGTCTTCTTTCTTATATCACTTAAGGACACTATACTACACTACCCTTCCCTCATGCTTTACTCGGGGTGTTGACATTCCACATGAAATTTCCTTCTCCAAGTGGTGATCTTGGAATGTGGATATTCCTTAGATTCTGATGCTCTATGACAAGGCAGTTTTCAAACCTTCCTCAGTCCATTTAGTGTATTCAGATTCTGGCTCCCAATGCTGGACTTGGGCCAGTTTTGCATGTTGGACTTCTCTTCCACACTGACATCTGCTTCATCCTATTTAGATTATGATTTCCCCAGGCCAAGCTGTCTGTAAGATATGGAAAAATGATAAACCCCAAAATAGTGTGGCCTGGGAAGAGGGAGTGAGGAAGAAGGCAACACACTGATAACAAGGATCCTTTCCCAGTGACAGGACAATCCCTGGGAAGGAAGCAAACATCATCCAGTGATAAGACAATCCCTGGGAAGGAGATATCTATCAAGCCTAAAATGGCAGTCTCTGGGGAGAAGCCAAAGCATTGATCCTTCCCCAAATAAATCCTTTCCTAGTGACAGTACAATGGGACCCTGAAGGGAAAAAGATAAGTACTGAATGCTGACCCCAGACCTTCTATTCTTCCCCCAAATAAAAATATATTGCCCAGTAAAAGCAAATTTCAAATTCTTACAACTTGTTCCCTGAGTGCCTGAACTGACACACTTTGTCAATAATTAAATCATCTCTCAGTGTAACATATATAAGCACCGATTCCTCCCTGGGCTGGTGGCTCATGTTCCATCAGGAAAGAGGGTCCACCAGATGCATGATTCCACTGCTGAATAAAGGCTTTGCTGATCTGTGAAATTTACACCCACTGGCCTGGTCATTTTATATTAACACTGTCCCCTCTATTTGCATATCCTTTTCTTTCTGGTCAGGATTAAACATCCACATGGGGCTTTGGTTCTCCAACCTAAACCACCTCTCTGTTGAACTATCCTCTTCACCCACATTGGTTGTAAGTTGCCCTTCCATATGCATGCCTTCTGCACCCTGCTCACACTCTGACAATCCATGCTAAGCTACCTCTGCACAGATGACCTCCTCAACACATTTGGACTCCAATACCCTGACCTGCTTCTTGACCGGGAGGGGTTACTTACCTTGCTCTGGCCCACCAGTTGCTTTAGAACCAAAATGCTCAAGAAAAGAAAGGAATATAATAATAATAATAATAATAATAATAATAATAATAATAATGGTGGCTTTATAACCAAAATGCTCAAGAAAAGAAAGGAATATAATAATAATAATAATAATAATAGTAATAATGAGGAGGAGGAGGAGGAAACCATAAAGCACTTTAAGCCTAATAGGAGGCTCTCACTTAGGATCCTTTGGGTTCAAATAATAGAAAATACAATCCAAAAAACATAAGAAAAAAAGAAATTTAATCAAACTATGTTATTTGCATGTATGAACATGGCATAAAGAATCCCAAAATAGTATAATTATAATGCATCAATGAAAAAAAGAAATTTGTTCATGCAATGGTAAAGTTCAGAACTACTTCAGGACACAACTAGGTTTGGGAGTTCAAATAATGACATTAGGATAGGTATCTGGTTCTTTCTCTTGTTTTCAGCCCAGCCCCTGCTTGTTTTATCTCCATCGTTATAAAACCTCTCCATTTGTGGTGACCAGGTCCATCCTCACATATTCATTCAAACTCAGTAGAAATAAAATAGAAAGTGTCCTCTTCCTAATGATTCTGCATAAATCTTGTACTAAATCAATCACTCAGGCATAAGTCTAAGATGCATGCTTAATCTGTAGAACTATGAGTGGAATCCAATTCAAACACATAAACTGAGATGGGAGTGGAGTGGTGGCAAAACTGGAGAGAACTACCAAGATAAAGATGAGTGGAAGCTAAAAAACAAAAATCAATGWGTGTCCAACTACAGAAATGAGAAGCTCACTGCACATGATAAAATGACTATAAGTTCCCAGTAGTATTTGTTAATTGTCAAATAAATGACATAGAATAAATGCTATTGTCTTTCATGGGAAGGAGAAATCACAGTAGAAGACTTTACAAGGAAGGAGAGACTTAGGACCATGCTTTAAAAGGAAGGGGTAGCTACCTTATAATGTTAACTTATAAGAAATGTCAAAAAATTTTGCAAACATAAACCAGAAGACATGTATAAAAATGCTCAAAGTGCTAGTACCAAGAACAAAATATTGAAAACAACCTAAACATCCATTTCCAGGAGAATAAATAATCAAGGATAATACACTCACATGATGGCGTACAATGATGAAAATGAATGAATCACAGCTACAGGAACACGTAGATTGGTACAGTTGCATAATGTTGGATAAAAAAGCAAGTCCCAGAAAACTGCATATGACTTGATAACCTCTTTCTAAAGTTTAAAAAGTCAAACCTAAACTAYATATTGTTTAGAAGTATTCATGTAATACATATATTATTGTATAACTCTAACACTATTGGAAAAGCAAAAGGGAAGGGAAAGATAAAACCAAATTTTGGATTGGTAACGGTGAAGGGAGAGGATGGAATAGGGCAGAACAGAGTGGAAAATGTAAGTAACTGGTCATATTCAAGTTTGATAGTAGATTCATCATTGCACAATTWAAAAAATTAAAGAGTATGGATACAGAAGTATGCAAAGCATGGTTAGGGACCATGAATAGAATGAAGGTACTAGAGCAAATAACTACTATATGGTATTAGGAGCAGATTTGATTGGAAATAGATTAGATTGAAATATGGCAGGACTTTGAACCAGAGAATTTAATAATGCATACTCCATTTTAATTTAATTTTACAAATGCATGTTGAGTATTTTAGTACTGACCAGTCAATTATAAAGGGATAAAAGATGGTGTGGGGGTATGAAAATAGAAATGAAAGGAGTGGCCACAAGATACGTTGCCAAAGAGTAAAATTATTATAATTTTAATAATTTTAATGGATAAAATTAAGCTGTTTATTATAAATGTAGTGAGGAGTCAAAGTAGACTCTGGGAGTTTTCCAGCTAAGGAGTAGAATTAAAACAAACCAAAACCAAGAGAAGATGATATAGATGTCTTACTGAATTTATTATAGGAAATGCCTGAGAAATATTCCTCTGATCTCAGAGATGCCTTTGATATACTTGAGTTTCCACAGACCAGTAGTTGTTAAGGACTTGGGCTTGAAGAGGAGAAAGAAAATTTTCCCAGTAGATGAATGTACTGTTTATTAGTTCTTGGTTTTGCGTTTGTGTCTTTTAGCTAAACTACACTTCCAGTTTCCAAAGTCATACCATGGACATGAAGTAAAGTTGTCTTCAAAACAATTTCAGAAATACATAGAATTGGTAGTATCTGAACTCAGGGGCAATGAAGATCAAGTTATGGAAAGTATTGTGGAATTTCTGATGAACTCTTTAAAGAGGAGCCATATTGAGGGTCTTAGGAATTGTGCAAGACGAAAATGGCTGCACCAAATCCAACATGCTGCAGAGACAAGTGGAGTGTCTGTGGAGCCAGTATACACTGAGACCTTTAAGACCCTCACCCAGGTATGTTTTCTTTTTCATATTTATTTATTTTTATTTGTTCTAATCAGTTATTCATAAGAGTAGAATGCATTCTGACACATCATACATAAATGGAGTATAATCTCTCATTCTTCTGGGTGTACATGATATACAGTTACACAGGTAGTAATCATATACGCAACATTCTACTATCATTTCTACCCCTGTACCCCTCCCCGTCCTTCACTCCCCTCTATCTAATTCCAGGTATGTTTTCTAAAATGATCTAAAAGAGAAAAAAATTCTGAGCTGGGCACAGTGGTGCATTCCTGTAATCCCAGTGATTTGCGAGGCTGAGGCAGGAGGATTGCAAGTTCAAGGCCAGCCTGGGCAATTTAGCAAGACCCTGTCTCAAAATGTAAAAAGAAAAGGAGGGAGGGGATGTACTCAGTGGTAGAGTTCCCTTGTGTCCCATCCCTAGTACTAAAAAAAAGGGAAAAAAAAAAAAGGGAAGGGAGAGGAAAAGAATTTTCTCACAGTGGGTGATATTCAATGGTTGTGTGGAAGGAGCACTTGATTCTAATACATTACAAATGACCCAAAGCCCAGATGAGATGCCACTGAGATTATGGCTGATGGGTAAGAAAGAAGCAGAGAAGAAAAGTGTAAAGAAAAGATATGAAAAAGAAGTCTTGGGATTTCTAATTTCATTTGTGCTAAGAGTCTAATAAGCCAAGAATAGACAAAGGACTGATACTGAAAAAAACACCAGAAAAGAGACGTGCAAACAGTTCAAGCTATATTTTCCTTACATGATGTCCAGGGAACTATATAACCATAAAAAAAGAACTATTTACACCATAAACTCATCACAAAGTAGATTCCAACATTACACAATATTTCATAGTACTGCCTAGCAGCAAGTTGAGACTTTTAGAATCCTGTCACTTAAAATACATGGCCCTGTAGAGCCATTGCCCACAGCCTTGCACCTCTTCAGAAACTCCCCAGATCACTACTTTTCTTAAGCAGAAACATCACAGCTATTTTTTACATATATCCCAGATTCCAGTGATACAAGAGACCTGGGCCAGTCATCATCATCATTTTATACATTACACACACACACACACACACACACACACACACAATTGGAATCATCTCCTGAATGGCTGAATTTTCCCATGTTGTTGGCAATGGTAAAATTAGGACTAGGAGTCCACTCAAGAAAAGGAGGCATTGCTCCAACTTGCTTTAGAGATCTGTGTTACCCTAAGAAAAATCTTATTTTATATTTGTTAGTTACTCCATATAACTTATATGTGGAAAAAAGGAATAAAAGCAGAAGAAAAAGAAAGTTTGAAAAACAAACCTAAATAAATAGTAAGAAGAGACAAATATCAAGTGTCTCTTATGTCCCCACTTTATGAATATATTCAATGTGTGTTATCACATAATACTGTTAATAATTTAATTTTTATATAGAGATTTTTAATTATTTTAATTAGAAATAGTAAATGCAGAAAGTCTGAACCCTCAGGCTCCAAGAAACCTTTTCCTGAAATGGCATAGATCAAATATGTAAATTGTGTTAATAATTCCTTGGAAGCATTTTTTTTTTCAATTTCACATATTTAGATGGCCAAGAGATATGAGTGAAATGAAGGCATCTTCTTGATGCAGCTCTCTAAAACCAGTACTTTTAACTGAAGCCCAGAAAACATGACAATAGTTTGAAAGAATTTAAGTTTTAAACCTTTAATTTGATTAGACTTGAGAGGTTTGGTTTTGTTTTGATTTTGTTTTCAGTAAAGCAGTTTAGTTGGCTTTAGAAAAAAATCTATTCCACGCATGAAAACTCAGTTTTGGAGGTCATTTGTGGTGTCAGCCTTTTCCCCACTGCCCGTGAATGGTAGTACCTGCATCATGTACTCAATAAATTGAAATTATTGGTGCCATGTTCACAAACTGGGTGGTGGAGGGATTAGGGGAGTTCTGTGGCTGTTGGTAAATACATTTTCAGAAATGTTGTGCCACAGGATGCTGAAGCTCATGGAAATAAGAAGATTAGTGCTCACATTTCCCTCTTAGAAGAAAATGAACTACTGCCTGATCGAGGGTCTGTTCTACTGAGAAATGTGGCTTGTACCCTAGATGACGCTTCATTCGTACTGAACAGAGTACTTTACCGGGACATGGAAGGAATCAGGTGAGAACTCCTTGAAGTGATTGGTTTTATCTTCCTAAACAACAACAACAACAACAAACTAGCACCTCCAAATCCTAGTGAGTTGCTCCAGAGAGAAATGTCTCACGTTACCAGGCTTCTAGAGTGGGAACTGATGTTTCCAGTTTTTTTTTAATATTTTTTTAATTGTTGATAGACCTTTATTTTATTTATTAACATGTGGTGCTGAGAATCGAACCCAGTGCCTCACACATGCCAGACAAGTACGCTACCGCTGAGCCCCAGCCCCAGACCCTAATGTTTCCAGTTTTGAATGTTTTCAGTTGATTAATTCTAGAGCTTACTCTTTGGCAATGATTCCCCACCTAGGGACTCTGTTTCACGGTATCAGCTCAATAAATTATGTCTCCTTAATTCAGTTTATATATATTTTCTCTGGCAAGATCTAAGATTGTCTTTTAAGTCCTTCCCTCAAATCAGACCCTCTAAACTGGTAATCTTATTTGAATCCAGTGCTCTTACATATAAATGCCCATAATTGTGGATAGAGAATTGATCTAGTTACCTCAGTGATTTACTAAATCCTCCTCCTGTCTTATTCCTATCTTGATGTCCTTTTTCTTAAGCTTTTCAGTAGTGGATGAAGGGAAGCCAGTCCATGTCCCCCAAGTACAGTACCATGGGAACATCATCTTCTGGAACCATTCCCGCAATAAGAATGATCGAAATGGGTCATTACTGGCTCTGCCTCTGCATGATGCATATATGAGGATCTTTGGGGTCCTGGCAGTTGACACACTTAGAGATCCCCACAAAATAAACATCTTCTTACCTCATGAGATCAGATTCTATCAGGTAAGTCACAGAAGTCTTCAAGAACAGTGGTAGGATTGCCTCTCCTATATTTAAAAAGGCCTCTTGTTTTATACTTCTTAAAAAGTGAAACCTGAAAATCTTTACTAGAGTAAAGCCTTGTTAATAAACAATATTATCATGCTTGCTCCTGTTCCCTATATTTTTCAGACTTTGGAAAGGTCCCCCATTACTTATAAAAGGACTCTCAGTCTCAGTTGTACATCTATGCTTCAGCCTTTTGGGGACTATATGCATTAATCATAGGAATAGAGTTTGATGCTGTGGAACAGAAATCCAACAATTAAATCACTGACTAAGACCCCATAAAATAGGAATAAAACTTTAAAAGGAGTATATTTGTGTTTTATTAACTAATCCTTTGTTCTTTCTACAAAATGTGCTAAATATGATATGCATCCAAATAGCTCTTGATTTCAGTGTTACAATTTTTGAGGACAAAGAATAAAGAAAATATTTCTTAAATATTCATGTTTTCAAGTTAGACCACACACACACACACAAAATCATTTTTAAGACAATGGAATAACTGGAGCATACTACAGCATTTTAAAAAAATATTTATTTTTTTAGTTATAGGTAGACACTATATATTATATGTATATGTGTGTGTGTGTGTGTGTGTGTGTGTGTGTGTGTATAGGGGTCACATGGGGATTGAACCCAGGGCCTTGTGCAAGTGAGGCTAGAAATCTTTTTTTTTTTTTTTTTTTTGCTGGTGGTAGTGGGGATTAAACCCAGTGCCTCATGCATGCTAGGCAAACACTCTACCACTGTGGTGCTGAGGATCAAACCCAGAAACTCACACATGCCAGGCGAGCGCTCTGCCTCTGAGCCATAACTGCAGCCCTCTAAAGCATTTTGATATAATTTTAGGGATAGAAATTACAATAAAGGAAAATTCAAAGCCTTTATGGAGGCAAGGACCATAGAATGTAGCAACAAGTCAGGAACTTACTTTGCCCTTGTCATTTGTTGCCCTGTAAGCCCTTGGCTCTCTGCTCATTTACCATTATTTTTCATTTTCTCTTTCCACTTTATGAGGTGGATAACTGAAGAAAGTGGTAGAATTTTTTTTCTCTGGACATCTTTTTTAATAATAAGATTCATAAGAATGACATGGAGGATTGTGAAGTTATCAGTAGGTGAGCCATATTATTAGTGAACATGTACAAATGAATTACAAATTATAAGTAGACTCTCTAGCCCTTGGAGATAAAGGGTCCTGGGTTACTTTTAGATGCCTTAAGTCCTAACTTGTAAATGCATATAACTTTGAAGATTTTGTGGTTCTTAAGAGTTTTCTACAACAACAAGATCACAGATGGATTTGGTAGATTTCCCTCCCTTCTCTGTGGATCAAAGTCTCTTTATACCTATAGGAAAACATCATGTAGCATATTGCAAACCCTGGAACCAAGCATATCCTACACTGCTGCTTTGATGGCAATAGGCATGTGCAAACATTAGTATTGGCATTGGATCAGGACAGTTCCTTCCTACCCATCTGCCCAGGGCTAGAATCTTGTCTTTTAAATATTTTTTTCTTAATTTAGAGTCTTCTGACTCTGTTCTCCACTAGTACATATCATAAATTTCACTGGGTAATTATCAGAAAGCAAAGCATAAAAAATTAAGTAGATCTCTCTTTATACTGTGTGTGTGTGTTTGTGTGTGTGTGTGTGTGTGTGTGTGATGTTGGTAATCAGACTAAGGGCCTCATGCATGCTAGGCAAGTGCTCTACCACTGAACTAACATCTCCAGCCCATACATCTTTGATTTTTTTGTGATCCTTTTTTTTTTTTTATAAGTAGAATCAGGAGCACTACCTTTGGAGAACTGATGAATAATTTGTAGAAAGTAGATTATCATTAATTTAAGATAATCAAATTGATGCATTAATAATTATTTATTTTACTCTTTTAAAAAAGAAAAGGTCATTTGAATTTTCTACCTTTCAGGGTGTTGCCAATGTCTTTAGCACTGCCTATCACTACGTTCACAGCCGGGAGCACATCCTTCATATTGTGATCACTGGCATTGGCTGGCTCTTCAATGTCACATCCAACATCATCTCCATCACTACATACTTTGTTGAGCCTAGCCCACACCAGGTAGGCAAGCCTTGGCAGCGTTAGACCCCTTCAATGTAACAGAGTTACTGGATGTTGATGTTTTACTAATATCTAAAAACCATATTAGTCAGTCATTAAGACTAACTAGAGTTGTTTCTTATGACTCCAACTCAAGACCCTTAGTTTTGAATGTCAGAAATCTATCTCAAACTGCCTTGGACAAAAGAGAGAATTGACTGTGACCCAAATGAAGAAAAGGTAGGCATCAAGGTGGCTTCCACCATGACCAGATCCAGGTCATTCAATAGCATTAGGGCTCAATCATGTTCTTTATCTTTCCACTTCTCACATTTGCTTCCCTCTGCATGTTAGCTTTGTCATTCTGGAAAAAGATGGGCTTTCTCCATAAGGCAAGTCAGATGCCTTAGTAAAAAACTCCAATTTGGAAAACCCAAGAAAGAAAACTTTTTGACTCATCCTGAGATATGTCCTGGTGGCCAAATTGGCAATATCCACTAGAATTGTGGAGATGGGGATTGAATCCAGAGGTGCTTTATACTGAGCTACATTCCCCACCTATAATATGAAGAATTCTTGATGTTTGCTTTACATTTTTACAGTTAACATAAGGATTTTTTTATATGATGAGAATGAATAGAAAGGAATCTTCTTTTCAGAAAAGCTAAATGATTCTGCAGTGTGCCTGATCACGTGGTGGCCTCATCTTGGTTGTCTCCCAGTTCTTTGCCTCGCCTACCACAGTCATTGTCCTTCCCTCCTGGCTTCTTTTTTCCTTTCCTTCCTACCAGGTCTGGGCTTCCTCCTTCAGTGGCTGGGGCGAACTAATGAAGTCTTGGCCATAGAAAAGTAGAATCACATACTCTGGGTAGGGTAGCCATGCCATGAGGTGGAGAATACCTCATTGTTGGAACTGCTCTTGTGAGGGGGATGATTTGGAGTGGAAGTGGGAGCCTTGAAGTGTCCTTGTGTCTGGAGTAGTCTACCCCATCTTATGGGCTACTTCCCCAGTGAGGCCAAAGTGTGTGGAGGTCTGGGGAGGATTCAGAATTTCCTATTCAGGACCTTAAGGAAAATAATATGCAGGTACCATGGAAAAGGCCAAAATGGCCCAGAGCAATCATCAAGAAACTTGGCTTCCATAGTGTATAATCTCAGAATCTTGACAACATGGACAAAGTCTCAAAGGTCATGGTATATCCCCAGGGCTGTTTCATGGTAACAGAGAAGACCATGTTGAAAGGTGAGGTGAGAGGAGGTCCATCAGCAATCAGGGTTTGAGTGAAGTCACAGTGGGGCAGAGACCAGAACAGCCTATCTAAGCCTCTAGTTAGGATTTTCTCCTAGGTACAAGATGCTGTGGTTAGATTTTGAGGTTAAAAATAGCTGAGAGCTGCCAGGTATGGAGGCATGCACACCTGCAGCCCCAGAAACTTGGGAGACTGAGGCAGGAAAATTGAAGATTCCAGGCCAACCTCAACAATTTAGCAAGGCTCTAAGCGACTTACTAAGTGAGATAAATAAAAAATAAAAATGGTTCAGTGATAAAGTGCCCATAGATTTAATCCCCAGTATAAAAAAAAAAAAGCTGTGCTGTTGCCAGGCAGGGTGGTACACACCTACGATCCCAGCTACTCAGGAAACTGAGGCAAAGAGATCACAGATTTTAGACCAACGTGGGCAATTTAGAGAAACCCAGCCTCAAAAGAAAGAATAAATAAATAAAAAGGGCTGAGGATGTATCTCATGGTAGAGCACTTGCCTGGTATGCTTGAAGCCCTGGCTTCAATCCCCAGAGCTGCAAAATAAGTAAATAAAATTAAACTATTAATGATAAACTGGGGGGAAATTGCCACCTATTTGGCAAAGGACTAACAGTTATATGTGAATCTATGGGGGTTTGGGGTTGTTTGTTTATTTGTTTGTTTTGCAGTGCTAAGGATCAAACCCATAATGGGCTAGGTAAGTGTTGTACACCCACTCCAGCCCCTTTCATGAGAGTTGTTTGTTTAATTTAAAAGAAGATTCTGTATTATTCAGCATTAAAAAAAGAATAAGATCATGGCATTTGCAGGGAAATGGACAGCATTAGAGAAGATTATGCTAAGTGAAGTTAGCCAATCCCAAAAAAACAAATGCCGAATGTTTTCTCTGATATAAGAGGGGAGACTCAAAGTGAGGTAGGGAGGGAGAGCATGGGAGGAAAATTACCTCTAGGTAGGGAATAGGGGTGGGAGGGAAAAGGAGGGAGAAGGGGAATAGCTAGGATGGTGGAAGGAGAGGGTCATCATCATACAAAAAACATGTTTGAAGATGTGAATTTGGTGTCAACATACCTTATATACAAACAGAGATATGATAAATGGTGGTATAAAGGTGTATTAAGAATTTTATGCAAAAAAAGAGAGCTTATGTATAATGGCATAATTTGGTGTGAGCATAATTTATATACAGAGTTACAAAAAATTGTGCTGTGGAATGGATAATTATGAATGTAATGCACTCCACTATTGTCATGTATGTAAGAAATAAATTTTTAAAAAAAGAAAGAAAAAGAGGATTCTGGGTATATTAGTGCAGACCTGTAATCTCAGCTTCTCAGGAGGCTGAAGCAGGAGGATCACAAGTTCCTGTTGTGCAGGGAGGTGAGGCTTAATGAAAGGTGTTTAGGTCATGATTCTCCACCCTCATAAATGGATTAATTCTGATTATAAAAGGACTGGAGACTGCAAGTTTGATCTCTAGCCCTTTCTCACCCTAAGCCTTCCATCAGAAGAAAAACTTAACTAAATGCTGACACCTTGATACTTGATGTCAACCTCCAAAACTATAAAAAATAAARTTCTCTTCTTTATAAATTACCCAGTCTGGGATATTCTGTTTTGGCAGTGCAAATGAAACCAAAACACCAAGTATAATGTAGAAAACATTTTTCATCTAGAGTTTGGTAGAACATTTGAGGTCAGGGAGTGTGGAATCAAAAAAAAGTTTCACTTCACAAAGCTGTTGTTCATCTTCCAAGAACAATTCAGCATACAGMCACTATGGATCCCCTTATTAGAGTTTCTCTTTTATTCCAAGAGTTATTTTTTTAAAAGGGGGCATATAAGAACTTCACTTTATTTCCCTTAATTGAATTGTTCTTTCCTACRGTTTAGTGTATTTTACTAAATATATTAATATTGCTTTCTTATAAATAACTAGTTTCTTTTTTCCATTTTTTAAATTTGTTTTAATTAGTTACACATGACAGTACAATGATCTTGACATATCATACATTTGAATCATATGGGATATAATTTCTCATTTTTCCGAGTGTACAGGTTGCAGAATTACATTGGTCATGTATATACCCACAGCAATAATAATGTCTATTTTTAAATAACTAGTTTTTACAAAAAAAAATATTCATCAAGACTCAAAAATATTTTCAAAGGTTTTGACCTACAGGTTGAAAACCTCTTTTAAAAAAAWTTTTTTTGGTTGTAGATGGACACAATACCTTTATTTTTTATGTGGTGCTGAGGATCAAACCCTCACACATGTAAGGCGTGTGCTCTACCACTGAGCCACAATCCCAGCCCCTGAAAATCTCTTAGGGGTAAAGGAGATAAAGAAGAAGCAAGGAGAATAGAAGGAGTGTTTAGTGAGGTAGGAGAAGAACCAAGAGAAGATGATGTCTCAAAAGCCTAGTGAAGAAAAGTATATCAGGAAGAGAAACCAGGCATGTTGTTGCACAACTGTAATCCCAGCAGCTGGGGAGGCTGAGGCAGGAGGATCCAGAGTTCAAAGCCAGCCTCAGCAACTTGTCAAGGTCATAAGCAACTCAGYTAGACCCTGTGTCTAAATAAAATATAAAGAAGGGCTGGGGGAGCTGGGGCTATAGCTCAGTGGTAGAGCACTTGCTAGCATGTATGAGGCACTGGGTTTGATTCTCAGCACCACATAAAAATAAATCAAGGAAGAAAGATATTGTGTCCATCTACAACTAAGAAAAAATTTAAAAAGAAGAAGAAGAGGAAGGTCTGGGGATGTGGTTCAGTGGGTAAATACCCCTGCTTCAATTCCCAGTACCAAAAAAAAAAAAAAGAGGCGGTAGGGAGGGGGATTGTTCACTGAATCAAATGCTGTCAAGAGGTAGATGAAAATGATAAATCAAATCCATAATCAATGGGTTTGAAAATGAAAGAGTCACTTGTAGCCCCTTGGCAAGAACAGTTTTACAGTTTCAGTGAACTGGTAGGGAGAAAGACCTCACTGGAGATTTTTTTTAAAAATTGTATCTATTGAGACTGGAGTTGTAAGTCAGTGGTACACCACTTGCCTAACGCATGTGAGGCACTCAATTCAATTGTCAGGACCACATATAAATAATAAACAAATAAAATAAAGATATTTCAGAAGCTCTTCTAAAAAATGTATTTATTTTGTTTGAGCTTTTCTATGTTTTCCAAATATTCTACAATGCATTTTTTTTTTTTTTTTGCAGTTCTGGGGATTGAATCCAGAGCCTTATGCATAATAGCAAAGTTCTACCACTAAGCTAAATCCCCAGCCTTTAAAAAAAATTATATTTTGATAAAGAGTCTCTAAATTACCCTGGCTGGCCTTGAACTTGTGATCCTCCTGATTCAGCCTCCCAAGTAGCTGGGATTACAGACATATGGCAGAGATCCAACCTTTTKGGGGGAGTAGGTACCAGGGATTGAACTCAGGGGCACTCACCACTGAGCCACATCCCCAGCCCTATTTGTATTTTATTTAGACACAGGTTCTCACTGAGTTGCTTAGTACCTCACTTTTGCTGAGGCTGGCTTTGAACTCTCTATCCTCCTGCCTCAACCTCCCCAGCTTCTGGGAGTACAGGCATACGCCACCACACCCAGCATACAATGCATTTTTTTAAGAATTTCTTTTTTAGTTGTAGATGGACACAATACCTTTATTTTGTTTGTTTATTTTTTTATGTGGTGCTGAGGATCAAACCCAGTGCCTCACACATGCAGACAAGCGCTCTACCGCTGAGCTACAACTCCAGCCACTATAATGCATTTTTAAAATCAGAAAAATAATATAAACACACAGTTTTATCATAATTACAAAAAGTAAGTTGGTGCATTTAATATTATTCTTTTGAAAATTTTCTCTTATGCAATACTTTGTTCTTTAATGGTACTGAATAAATAAAATGTCACTGCCCTTAAAGCTAGAGGTCATCTACACATTCCTAATTTTTCTCCATTTATTGGTCCCCACAAGCTTTAAAGAGAATATGAGGTCTAATTACTACTCTAATGAAATCTCTTCCTCTTTTTAAGGATTCAGACTATGTTTTACGCAATATGATGGTTACAGGGAAGCTGGGTCTAACAGAAGTCCACACAAATCCCCCTATTACCTTCAGGAAAACATGTGTCTTCAGGTATGAAATGTGTCTGTTTTCTTTGATTGCCAGAATACAATCTAGTGGTATGATAGTAGATCTGAAAGACATAGCTTCTGCCCTTTATTAGTGCATACTCATTCCTCATTATTATAAAATTATTACTCTTTATTATTACATTCATTATTTATTATTTTAAAATTTACATACACCAAAAGTCATTTGTTTTGTTTGTTTACAGACCTGAAAGTTTTAATAATGCACATTTTCTTATAATCATTAGCACAAAAGGATACAGAACAACTCTAACACTTCTAAATCAGTCTTTCAACCCATTCCTAAACCTGGAAACCACTGATCTATTCTCCATCAGTTGGCTTTTAAACAAAACTTTTTTAGAACATTTGACTCCCTGGGACATAGTAACTCCTTTTCTTTCAACTGCTTTTTAAAACAGATTTCCTTGGTATTCTAGATTAAATTTGCAAAATTGCGTATTTTAAAGCAGGACAGTATTTTATTATCTGATTTTCTTATAAGTATGGAATTCAACAAAAAATGATTATGAATAATAAYTGTATCCAATATCCCCCGTGATTATGAATAATCCCTCCATATCACTTATTAGAGCTCATTTGTTAATGTTAGCTAGATTGTGAATGTATATTTTTTAATGTGCATTTTTTTATTCAAAGAAAACAGGAAGAAGGAAAGGGAAGAGAGGGAAAGTTAGAAAATTAGATAGGTCCCTGGTTGTACATTACTTAGAATGACTGTCACCTATGGAAGGGAAGTTACATTATTCATCTGTACAGATACAAAACAGATCTTAACTGAGAACACAAAAGGGACTGACTGCATTAACCCATCTCAGACTAGTAGGCTAATTTGATATTTAAATACATGTTAATTAAATTTTAATTTGGCCTCATGCCAGAATGTTCATTTAGTCTCAAGCTTTTTTCCACATGGTTATTCCTATGTTAGTCAAGCATTTTGCTGGATTCCTTTTAACACCTAGACTCATATTCTGGATTCTGTGTAGAACTCAGAGCATATGCCTTTGGAGGAATGCTATTGACCTTTCTTAATATGCCTGGAAAGTTTGATAGATGCATCATTACTGTGGTCTTCACAAATATAAAAAAGTGATGGCTTAATAGTAGCAAGGAATGGGAATAGCAGAAGGACTGATTTTTTTCTTTCTTGTTTATTTATTTATTTATTTATTTATTTATTTATTTATYTATCTATTTATTGGTACTGGGAATTGAACTCAGGGGCACTCAACCAGTGAACCACATCCCCAGCCCAATTTTGTATTTTTATTTAGAGACAGGGCCTCACTGAGTTGCTTAATGCCTCGCTAAATTGCTGGGGCTGGCCTTGAACTCGCAATACTCCTATCTCAGCCTCCCGAGCTGCTGGGATTAGAGGCATACATCACAGCACCTGGCAGAAGGACTAATCTTACCTGTCATTATTGGATTCATATTCTGAACTATTAAATGTGATTTTTGAGGCTAGACAAAGAACTAACATTTTTACAAATGATTTAAAGGAATGGAAGCCCAACATCAAATACAGATGGGGAAAAATGTGTCTATGATTCACTAGAGAAAGAAGCAGTCACTGTATTTCCATGAAAATCTCAGTCTCTCACTGAAATAGATGCTAAAGAATACCCTGCCCAGATGCCCAATATGCCTTTTGCCAGCTTCTGTGGATACTGCTGCAGGAAGCGACACTTGACATTATAACTCTTCCTGGAGGAGTGCCCTCCAGTGATTGGAGCACCTGCCCAGAGGTATTCTCATGAATTCTGTGAAGGGCTGAGGTTGTAGCTTAATGGTGGAGCACTTGCCTCATATTCGAAAGGTACTGGGTTCAATCCTCAGCACCACATAAAAATAAATGAATAAAATAAAAGTATTGTGTCCATCTCCATCTAAAAATATTTTTTTAAAAAAGTTTTGTGAAAACTCTTCCACCACAAACTGCTACCTCACCCCCAGAGCAGCTTAGAACCAATGACTGATGAGCACAAAGATACAAGAGACCCTTCCCTTGCCTCAGGGTGGGACAAATTCTTTACTACATTCACCTCCCAGATCTTACCCCTTTGGATCAGGCTGAGGCTAGACTTCACCTGAAATCACATTGGTACTTAGCCTCTGCCACTTCCCTATGCTGCTTCCCTCAGTCCCTCATGGGTTTTACCCAAAAGCACTCCCTTGGTAAATTACTTGCATTAGCATCCTTGTCACAGGTTTTGCTTCTAGGGAACCTGACCTAACACACTCATCTTTCCTTCCCGCATTCAACTAACACATATTGGCCAAGATAAGTAAACAAAACACTGTACACCCTCAGATAAGACTAATTTCCTATATGATAAAGATAATAAAGCAGATGGGGCTGGGGATATAGCTCAGTTGGTAGAGTGCTTGCCTCGCATGTACAAGGCAAAAGATAATGAAGCAGAGCATCATGATGCAGAGTGTCCCGGTGCTACTACTTTAGTTAGATCGGATAATCAAGGAAGGCTTTCATGCTGAGAGGACGTTTGAGCTGAGTTGAACTGAAGGACAGAACCATGTGAAATTGAGGGATGCAACATTCTATGCAAATGAAACAGCAACCAGGACTGCTATTGTGGCAGTGAGGTGGATACAAGAGAGTAATTCAGTATGTTTGAGCRGAATGACGTGAATAGGTTGATTTTAACATCCTTGTACTTCTTTGGATTTAGCTTCAGAGATTTCCTCTTCAAGTGTACAGACAGTTCAGAAGTTGTTCTGGCCTCTGCCCGTGGAGAAACCCATATAGTAATTCCCCTTCGTGAGAGAACAGGAGAGGCTCTGGGAGCCCTTGATGTTAACATTGGCCAGACCAGGATGTTGTTCTATCAAGAATATAAAGATCTACAGAAAATGATGAAGGTGATCCAAGCTGCCTGCTATGAAATACTAGGAGAATTCTCCGGAGAGATAAAGAAAAACATTGTCTTAGGTATTATGAAGGTCTGGATTCATGGGGGAAATCACAGGCAATCTTAGATTTGGGGGAAATCACAGGCAATGTGATGAAGGATGCAGTTTCTAAAATGAATTGTTTCAATATGTAGGTTTTTCCAGGTGAAATGAATTCCCGTATGCAGTCTTAGCCTGAAGAGTAGTGTTTATAAGTTAAAGCAAAAGGAATGGAATCACATTATCTTTGGTTAGAAGTATACAATTTTAAAACTGGAAGGACTCATAAAGGAAAGATGGAACTAGCTTTATCAAATGCCCTGTCATTGTGTTGACACTTTAAATGTGTTTTTTCATTTAATCCTTACCATAATCTTATAAAGTAAATGGTGAGAACCCATTTTACAGGTGAGGGAAATGAAGTTCAAAGAAAGGAAACAATAAATGGGAAAGGCTGGATTGGAACCCAGGTTTGGGTGCTCTTTCCAAGACATTACACAGCATTAACCAATCAGAACATCTCATTTGACAGATGCAGGATCTAAAGCTCACAAAAATAGATTGCCTAAAGTCCAATTACAAGCTAGTGGCAGAGCCAAGACTAGACCCAGTTATTGTGGCTTCACACTCACTATCTGAGCATAATACTAGGTTAGAGAGGAGAGCAAGAAAGAGGCATGGAAACCTTCTGCAAGAATGAATTAGTATAACACTATGTGGGATTAAGTGGAAAGGTTGTTAGCCATTACATAGTATGTTAAGAAAAGAGAARAAAGCCAAGTGTGGTGGCAAACACTTGTAATCCCAGCCAATTGGGAGGCTGAGGCAGAAGGATCATTTGAGCCTAGATTCAAGACCAGACTGAGAAACATAGTGAGACCCCATCTTAAAAGGAGGAGGAGAAGAAGAAGAAAGAAAACTCGTGTCTTTGAGTGTTCACTCTGTGTAAAGAGTGAGACTGAGCATTTTTCTGTATGTTATTTCATTTAATTCCCACAGCTCACCAGGGAAATAGGATTAGCTTCATTCTCACAAAAAAGGAAAAGGATACTCAAAGAGACAATGGTACTAGTAGAGAGAAAGAATGCATTAAAACTAAGGGTCTAGGGGCTGGGATTGTGGCTCAGTGGTAGAGCACTTGCCTAGCATGTATGAAGCACTGGGTTTGATCCTCAGCAACACWTATAAATAAATTAAATAAAGGTCCATTGACAACTAAAAAATATTTTTAAAATAACTAAGTGTCTAACTCTGAAACCCAAGTTTTTGCCTTTTCTCAAAGCCTCCTTCCAGGCATAATTCCATATTTCTTTTGATTTCATGTACAGAGAGACTAAGATAGTTTAAAATCATATGACATGAGCCAGGTGATGCATACCTTTAATCCCAGAGACTCAGGAGGCTGAGGCAGGAAGATCACAAGTTCAAGGCTAGCCTCTGCAACTTAGTGAGACCCTGTCTCAAAATTAAAAATAAAAAGATCCGGGGATATACAGTGATAAAGGACTTGCCTAGCATGCTAGCATGCATGAGTCCTTGGGTTTAATCTCCAGTTCTGCAAAAATAAAATAAAATAAAATAAGACATGGGAAATGGTCTTTTTCCTGAGGAAAATTATGTTTACTGAAATAGGCTTTTTTTTTTTTAGTTGTAGTTGGACACAATATCTTTATTTATTTTTATATGGTGCTGAGGCTCAAACCCAGGGCTTCACACATATTAGGCAAGTGCTCTACCGCTGAGCCACAACCCCMGTCCTGAAATAGGCTTATAATCCTAGGGAAAAGCAATGTTTGGGACTCAACATCAATGTGTGATGTTATCAATGTCATTCTATTCTTTCAGAGATGGAAAAAGTTGGGGAAGTCCAACGAGCAGGAATTATCTTCTTCCGAATCATGCTGCAGGAACTGCAGGCATGCCTCAAACTACTTAGTTCCATGGACTTTGTGACACTATTGCTCTACGATCATAATACTCAGATAGAGACAACATCTTCTAAAGACAGCAAGGCCAAGGAGTTGAAAGCCCACGTAAACCTAGTGCATGACATCCTGAAGGGAGTTATTTTATTCTTTCATACAGATTTGGAATCTGAACCTGCAAGTGAATCTGAATCTGAATCTGAATCAGAAGATTGGGATAAGGATAAACTTGTACGTTTTCTTAAAATCACTATTTTTATTGAATAATAACCTGCACAGATTTGGGTGTACAAATCATAATAACACAACTCATAAGTATACAAATGCAAGATTATTCACATAATGAACACATCCATGTAATAGATGCATCAAGAAACAGAATATGCCGGGTGCCATGGCCCACACCTGTAATCCCATCAGTTTGGGAGACTAAGGCAGGAGGATTGTGAGTTCAAAGCCAGCCTCAGAAATTTAGTGAGACCCTAAGCAACTCAGTGAGACCGTGTCTCAAAATAAAAACTAAAAAGTGCTGGGAATGTGGCYCAGTGGTAAAGCACCCCTGGGTTCAATCCCTGATTGAAAAAAGAATGAATGAGAGAAAGAAACAGAACATTACTGACATCCCCTAAACTCTCCTTTGAATCCTTTCCCATAATCTCTACCCACCAACCCATACACCCTAGGAAAGGTAACCATGATCTTGACTTCTAACACCATAGATTAGTTGTACCCATTTTAAATTTTTTGTAAATAGAATTATGTAAACTGGTGAACTGGGCATCGTATTTCTACTTGCTGTTGATCCCATTCCTTTTCTTTTGTTCTTTGTTCACAGTTTGTTAACAAATATTTAGTGGAGAGTATTTGTTCCTTTGATCCAACTGCTAGCCATGTGGAAGTCAACGTACAGCTCATTAATAAATATATCAAAGGTAAATTTCCACTTAATCAGTTTAAAATCTAGGCCAAGAATAATAAACCATATTGTAATTAACAGTTTTTATTAGAGTAAAGCAAGTAGTTCATAAATTAAATTTTTAGGAGAAAAGTTATGACTATAAGTTTTCTAATAGGAGGGATACTGTTTATAATCTACTATATTCCCTCCCAAAGACTGTCTATTCCACACATATGAGAATTCAAAAGTGCATCTGTCTCTCTTATTGACTACATGTGTATTGTTCATTCAAAAAAAAAAAAAAAAAAGCAAAGCCAGGCATCCCAACTATGTCGGAGGCTGAGGCAGGAGGGTCACTTGAATCCAGAAGTAAAGACCAGCCTGGGCAACATGATAAGATTCTGTCTTAAAAAAAAAAAAGAAGAAAAGAAATGAAATGAAAGAAAGAAAAGATGGGCTGGAGTTGTAGCTCAGTGGTAGAGCACTTGCCTAGCACATATGAGGAAAGATATTGTGTCCATATACAGCTAAAAATTAAAAAAAGAAAATTAATAGGAGCTGCAGTGAGGACAGGAACATTTAATTAAAAGGCTAGTTAGTATCCTTAGCTTTAGTAAATAATTGAATAAAATATTAGATCACTAGTCTATATTGAGGAAGAGAATCAGCAGGACTGCAGAATAGCAAGACTTTCAGGTTGGAGAAGATGACAACCTCTTTGGCCACATCTAAGTAAATGTGTAAATACATGCTGTTCTTCCACTGATATGTATTACCTCACCAGACAACTCAGGCCATGGATGTGAGTGAACCAGTCACAAATGCATGTAAAGTTTTCTTCCTCTTTGTTACTTATGAAAAGTTAATCATTAATTGGGAAAATGGCTCTGTAGAAATCACTCCCTAACCCTGTCCTTCTCCACCTCCTCCCCTTCTCCTTCTCTCTGTGTAGACTCCAGACCACATCAGAGGTTTCTGTAATGTATTTATTAGGCTCAGAGGCTCAAAACCAGAGAGATTCCTAGGAGAAGAGGAGGGAAAAGGCAATCCGGGAAGGATGGCCACACTCCTCAGGCTGTGGGCATCCACAGCACAGGGGTGGTGGAGTAGTGAACCAGGTGGATGGATGTGAGGGATATCATCTAGCATGGGAAGGTGAGATGCTTCTAGCAGTTCAGGAGTGCTACAGAATAGGAGAGAACTTGAGATTCACATAAAAATTAACATGAAGTAATGTGACCATGAGTGATGTGAGTCAAGTTTAGAATTCCTATTTGAAATGGTGCTTCCACTGTAATTCAATTCATTCATGGGAGCTTCTGATTTCATAGGTGTTACATGTATAACTTCTAAAGTGCTAGTCACAGGAATCCATAACAACAACATCAACAAAAATGAAGGCTTAGGGTCTGGGATTGTGGTTCAGGTTTGGAGCACTCACCAAGCCCATGAGAGGCCCTGGGTTCGATCCTCAGCACCACATAAAAATAAATAAAGACATTGTGTCCATCTACAACTAAAAAAATATTTTTAAAAAAAGTTAAATGTAATAACTAGCCTCCAAGAGGACCCTGCTCTTCTCATTACCTACTATTCATGCCTATGAGGAGTCTCTTCCCACTTGAATATTGTCAAAATGACACTGGGGGGGGGGCTGGGATTGTATCTCAGTGGTACAGTGCTTGCCTAGCATGTGTGAGGCACTGGGTTTGATCCTCAACACCACATAAAAATAAATAAATATAATAAAGGTGCTGTGTCTAACTACAGCTAAAAATAAATATTWAAAAAATTAATGCTTATTCATTGTATACGTCTATATATTCATTCTGTACTTGTTTACTATTCACAGAGGCAAGTCTAGAAGAAATGTTTTCTATGTCAGTGATTCTGGCCTGTCTAAATCCCAGACTCAGCCCCACCTAGTTGAGCTCTTCTTTTTGGAATGCATTTAGCACCAGGTGTGACCAGCTTGTCTAGTTTATTTTCTCCCTGGTCCCTACTCCAATTTGGTTCCCACTAACCTGCCAGCCCCTTGATCTAGAGCCAGCTTCTGCTGCTAAGGTTCCTTGTGTCCTTTGAGAGTAATGTTCCCCTCCTTGGGCAAGGACTCAGGCACCCACCAATGTCCAATCCATTCCCTCTGTCAGAGAGGAGCAGACCTCTCCAGTCTCCACCTTAGASGTGTTAACAGGAGTAGTCTCTCAGCCCTTAATATGCCCACCTCCAGCTAGCTATAGGAGAGCTCAAGGGCACCTTTTATGGCAATGTACCAACGCCTCAAGAGAATCTCCTTGGGCCCTGCCGCTTATTCGCCTACAAGAACTACCTTKCGTTTTCTTATACTATTCCTTTGACTCAGAACACATGCAAATTTCTGTTTCTCTGTTTGCTCCCACTTTGAACTATCCTAGCTGATTCTGAGAAGCCTTGGTACCAACTTTCTCCACCATTTTCTGTGTTCCAACAGTGCCCTCAGGTGGTAGGAATTACTGCAGTTAACAGAACAGCACTCAGCCAGAAGCCAACAGCTGATAGGCTCCACCACCACCCAGCCTGTAGTGTTATCACGCAGTCCAGCAGCAATGAGAAAGTTCATAGCGCCCCCCCCCCCATTCCAGTTCCTCTGCTTCAGATGCAATTATATCAGGAAAATCTAAGCTTCCTGTTTGGGGGAAGGGAGAGGAGCTCTGGAGTGTCTTTCTGTTTGTGCCAGAAGGAGAGGAGTCTTTTAGAAGGGCAATCTGTTATTGCACAACTTTTACATGACCTTCTAGCAGCTTTTAGACCCCGCCCAGCATGAAATGCCACCAACAGTATCTGTAGGTTTCTGCCTGGAAAGGAAGGAACTGCTTCCTTTCTATAGACTACATAGCAGAGCTCCTAACCCACCCACCAAGCTTTCTAAACTAATGATTTTTATCCAAAGCATAGAATTAAAGCTGGTGGTACACTCATACTGTCTAAGGGTTTCTGTAGCCAACTCTAATCCACTTCACCCTAGTTGGAGAAGCGGATATTTGGTATTCTGGTGAAACTCTAGGCAGTCGTGCCCTGACTTTAGATTGAGGCAGTCATCTATGAAGGAGCAGTGGGCAATTTGTTCAGCAGTCCTGGCTTCCCAAGGTTAAATCATTGGATATGAATGCTGCTGACTTCCCTGAGGGRTACCCTGTGACTCCAGTGGCCACTTCCGGGCATCTGTGCTTTTAGGAGCACATTAATAACCTGCTATCCTCTGTCACTCTGCCTCAGGGACTTCTAGTAGTTGGTCTCTTTTACCTGGAGTCCCAGGTAAAAGACCTGACCACCTCTCAAAGGTCATTCCATTTTGGACCTCTGCTGCCAGCCTCACCTGGTCTTTATGTAGGGTGCCCCAGACCTGTCCCCTAACCCCACTCCAGGAGGTTTGGAGTAATATTGCCTGACAGGAAATGTTCTCAGAACTAGAGGCTATCCCTAGAACGAGCCCTCATTGCAATTATGCCTAGAATCATTCTCATGTCAACACTAGTCTTGCCAGAAGCTTCCCAGGCCCTCTGCCCCTTGTACAGGAGTCCCAAGGGTCCTCCTCTGCTAAGGCCTCAGCGCTGTCATCATCTATGAAGAAACTTACTGGCTTATTCAACAAAACACTGATCCTCCCAAAGGGACAATGGAGGGGGATTCCTTGCCATTAGGGAAAGGAGTGCTGGACTCCCAGTCCTAGTTAACTCTTGTCCAAGATTCCCCTTCCCCAGGAGATCTTTCCATAATTGCTACTGCAATTAGGTGGTTCTAGTTCCCTCCCCCTCCATTTCAAAGTCAGACACAACTCTTTCCTTCGTTTTCACTGTACTGCTGAGGATTAGACAGGAACTTTTTACAACAGCTTACCAATAATTGAGGAATAACAAATAGAAATACAGCACTGAACCCCAATCTGGAACTCCGAGGACATGCCTGATACTTTAAACTGGGTGAGAGTGAAATGGACAAGATATCAATATTGTTCTTCACTATTAACTTGAACATATACTAATGCTGGCTTACATTCAATCACAGTTCTCTATCATCTCTTTGAACCTAACCATCATGGGTGGTAGCATCTTTTGGGAATTGTTGACTCTTCCTTGTTAGGTTAGAGCTGCCATCACAGCTAGACCTGGATTTAACAGAGAGCCCAGGGTATGCCCYCTATAGGCTGCTCATCGGTTGCAGGCTGTGGAAGAGGAAATATCAGTTCAGTTTTAGAAAAGAATCCCTTTGCTGGGCACAGTGGTGCACTCCTGTAATCCCAGTGACTTGAGAGGCTGAGGCAGGAGGATTATAAATTTGAGACCAGCCTCTCAGCAACTTAGCAAGATCCTGACTCAAAAAAAAAAAAAAAAACCTCTGGAGATGTAGCTTGGTTCTTCACTAGGAATAAAAGATTCCCTTTGTCCTGGACAAAATCTCTTCTAGAGTTCTTTTAGCTAAGATATTAGACATGTACTTATACACTATTCAGGAAGAGTTTTGGGGGTTTGGAAAAGAGCTGGGGCCCAGCTATTTGACACATTTCCCATGGATGCAGAGCCCTTCCATTTTCAGTTCAAAGTTATTCAGAGGAAAAAAGAAAGAAAATTAAAGCAGCAAATACCTTTCTATTATTTATCACTCCTTTTGATTTTAAATTTCGAAGCTTTCCAACAGTAGTTTTTAAGTTAAGAGGAACAACTGAAAATGGTTTTAATTGTCTAGGTAATATCACTGCTGCTTGGACATCTGATTAAAAGCTTTTAAAATTAGTTTAATGAGAACATTTTTCTACTTATCGTAACCCTCTTTTTTTTTCACTTTAGTGGATGTTAAAACAATCTTTTATAGCAAAACAATTTTTAAATTGTATATTTTTATTAAAATACTTCAAAAGTTCAAATAAACATTTTAAAAGCAACTAGTCCATCACTTCTCACTCTCCTCAGATCCCCTCCCAAGAGGCAATCCTTTTTGGTATTATTGTTTATTCTGGTATTTGCAAGTCTATTTCTAATATTATGCACACAGTGTTAT